TGAAACAATGCATATGTATTATATCGCACACATTCCAAAAGATTTTCTTAGTGATAAGAATCGTTTCGAATAAAGTGCTTTAGTAAAAATGTCAGCAAGATGATCATCTGTAGGTACATGATCCAACATAATAATTCCATCTTCGACCAAATTGCGTATAAAATGATACCGAATATCAATATGCTTGGTACGAGAATGTTGGACAGGATTTTTCGAAATATTTATTGCACTAGTGTTGTCACAGAAAAGTTGAGCCGAATGAACATTCATACCATACTCAGATAAAATTTGTTTCATCCATACCAACTGTGAGCAGCAACTTCCAGCGGCAATGTACTCGGCTTCAGCTGTAGAAAGGGATATGCAGTTTTGTTTCTTGCAGAACCAAGATACCAAGTTTGATCCTATGTAAGAACACCCACCAGAGGTGCTTTTTCGATCATCAAGATTTCCAGCCCAGTCAGCGTCACAATAACCTGCAAGATGTAAGTTCGTAACAGCAGAGTAGAATAGACCATACTCAGTTGTACCTCCAATGTACTTTATGATATGCTTGACTGCTTTCATATGTGATTCCTTGGGGGTAGCCTGATACCTGGCACAAAATCCAACACTAAAGCAAATATCAGGTCTACTAGCAGTGAGATATAAAATACTACCAATCATACTTCTGTATAGAGTTTGATCAACAGATGTACCTTCACATCTTTGGAAAATTTTACATGAGTGCCCATGGGAGTTTGAGGACATTTAGCATTTTCAATACCAAACTTTTTAACAAGGTTGTTTGCATACTTACCCAGATGCAAGAAAATACCATCTTTACCTTGCTTTACCTGAAGTCCAAGAAAGTACGAAAGTTCACCGACGAGACTCATCTCGAATTCAGACGACATAAGTTTAACAAAGTGATTAACCAGTTTCTTGGATGTTGATCCAAAGATGATGTCGTCGACATATATTTGAACAGCCAATAGGTCCTCATTCGTTAGAAGGGCAAAGAATGTCTGATCTACACCTCCTCTCTTGAATCTATTTTCCAGAAGGTACATGGTAAGGCGTTCATACCACGCATGAGGTGCTTGCTTCAATCCGTACAATGCTTTCTTAAGTTTGTAGACATGATTCGGATTCTTGAGATCTTTGAACCCTTCGGGCTGCTTAACGTATGCCTCTTCATGCAATATCCCGTTCAGAAAGACAGACTTTACGTCCATCTTGTTACGTGTCACATTCCCGAATTCATCAGTTTTGTTCTTGAAGATCCACTTGGTTCCGATAACATTTCCTGATGAAGGTTCAGGGACTAACTCTCTGACATCGTTTCTAGTGAATTGCTCCAGTTCCTCATGCATGGCTAAGATCAAACACTCGTCTTTCTGGGCTTCTTTAGCATTCTTGGGTTCAATCAATGAGGTGTAGCAGGCATAATGAGAAACCCCCATAAGTCCTTTGACCGACATCTTCGAGTTTCTGGTTGCTCTCTCGTTTATGTCACCAATGACTTGTTCTGATGGATGGTCTTTCTGAACTCTTAAGGGAGGGTCATGCCTAGGTAGCATAGAACCTTCTTGCGTTGTAGGGACAACGTAATCAGTTGACGTTTCTGCATTCCCAACCGAAGGTTCAACTATCTCTTTGTCCGCAGAACTCTTAACATCATGAATATCCTGCAATTCCTCAACATTTTCAAATTGATTAGAAGATACAGAAGAACTAACTTGAGAATTCTTTTCATCAAAGATTACGTTTATGGACTCAATTACAGTGGAGGTACTTGTGTTGTAAATATGGTACGCTCGGCTATTGTTAGAGTAACCAAGAATGAATCCAATATCCGATTTCTCATCGAACTTCCCAAGTTGTACACGATCATTATAGATAAAACATTTACACCCAAAGATATGCAAGTAACTGAGGATAGGACTCTTACCTTTCCAGAGTTCATACGAAGTCAGACCAATACCTCGACGAAGGTACACTCGATTCACAAAGTAGCATGTTGTATTGATTGCCTCAGCCCACCATCTAGAAGAAATGTTTTTGGAGTTCAACATGACTCTGGGCATTTCTTGTAGAGTACGATTCTTCCTTTCAACAACTCCATTTTGCTGAGGAGTTTTAGGAGCTGAGAACTCGTGACTAATACCCAGAGAATCACAAAATTCCGCAAACTCAGAATTTTCAAACTCTCTTCTATGATCACTTCGAAGACTTATTATGGGAAAGCCTTTCTCAGTTTTAACCTTCAAACATAGTGACTTAAATGCAGAGAATGTGTCAGACTTTTCACGCAGAAAATCAACCCACGTACATCGAGAGAAATCATCAACGCACACAAAAATATACTTTTTACCTTGATAGCTTTCTACCTGAATGGGACCCATGAGATCCATGTGAAGAAATTCTAGGATCTGTTTAGAAGCAATATGGTTCAGTGACTTGTGGGATTTCCTCGTTTGCTTACCTAGTTGACAAGGTTCACAAATTGGCTGGTCCTTCATAGCAATCTTTGGAACACCCCTGACTACACCTGCATTGGTCAATTTGACAAGGTGAGAGTATCCAATATGCCTTAAGCGTTGATGCCAGATTTCAGGTTCGCTCACATTTGTGAGAAGGCATTTTTCATTAAAATCAACAAGATAACAGTTATCCGTTGAACGAGAACCTGTAAGTACACAAGAACCTTCACTGTCTTTCACATAACACTTATCACATGAAAAACTGACACTAAGACCTTGATCACAAAGTTGAGTCGCACTCAAAAGATTTTCCTTTCGTTCATCAACAAGTAACACATCAGTTAATTTAGTATTCCACCCAAATTTAAACAGCCTGTTCCAATAACCTTATTGCTCACGCCACCACCGAACGTGACTCCCCCATTTGAACCGGGCTGAATGTTCATCAAGTAAGAAGGTTCCCCAGTCATGTGTCTAGAGCAGCCGTTGTCCAGATACCACTTACCTTTCAAGGAAGTCCTAAGAGATAGAACAGAGGCAAAATAGTTGAAGGACTTCTTAGCAACCCACACTTGATGAGTTTTGGCACGGTTATTTAGGAGGGTTCTGGCATGAACCTTCACTGGAATGCCAGACTGATTCCAACCCCTAACATTACCTGTACAAAGATCATGCTGTATTTTATAACATTCGGGTCTTATATGACCAGTTACACCACAGTAATGACATATAGAAACAAAGTTATGGAGAGTTTTATTAACAGATTTCTGCATAGGAGAATGAACCTTCAAGGGAGATATTAGAAATAGAGTTTTACTTACAGTGCTTTTTACAAACCTGTCAAACACGTTTCTGGAAGGTCTCCCATGCAGGTTCACACCTCCAATTCCAGGTTTGTCCCCAAATCCAAGGCCAGCATGTAGTGTACTCGAATTCCCGGCTGAGGATTCTAAATGGTTCTCCTTGCTCATGTACCCTATTCCAGTAAGATCACCGTGTTGTTTTCCAAGGAGAGAAGTTCATTCAGATCTGCTTTTCCCAAGTTCAGTTTTCGAACGACTTCTGCAGTTCGGTTCAACTCAGCAGAGTTAGCCTTCAGTTTGCTTTCCATGCTAGCATGTTCGTTCATGAGCCGATCAGCTTCATTTTTCAGTAGCACGATTTCCTGGTTCCGCTCCGCAAGAAGTTTCTGAGTAGAGAATAGTTCGGTCCTCAATCATTCAATGGTCTGAGCCTTCTCCAATCTGTCTTGTTTAGCAAGTTTGACACTGGTCTCAAGGATGCAGGTTCGAGCCTTTGCAGTATTCAGTTCACACTCTTTAGTAGCAGTAGAAGCGGATGCTTGTTCGTTCAGCACCCTGTTTGCTCTTAAAAGTCTAAACACTTCATTTTGAAGCTTTTGTAGAGCTTCATATGCTTGAGCACATTTTTCCGTAGCAAGTAAGTGTACTGGATCTACACACACATTTTGATATGCTTCAGCTTCAGATGCTTCAGTTTCTTTTAAACTTTCTTCAAACTTGGTCGGAGCATGAGAAGTGGTGAGACACATGAACTTCTTGACTGAGGCATGAACTGCCAAATTGCTTGTGTGCAAAGAAGGTTCGTCTGTGCCTTCTTCATCTGAATTTTCCCAGGTTGCCTTCAGTGACTTATTCTTCTTCTTAAGATTAACACACTCATACTGGAAGTGTCCAAGGCCTTGACACTGTCTGCATTGATCCTTCACAACTCGTTGTGAATCGAATTTTGAGAGAGGTATACTACTTTTCTTGTCCTGCAGCACATTCTTGCTGAAGTTGTTCCCCTTTTTTCCAGCAAATTTGTTCTTGTACAGCCTTTGACTCATCTTCTCATAGTTTCGCGCGATTAGAGTTAGTGCTTCTTTCAGCTCACTATCATCTGCCAACGGACCTTCATCGTCATCGCTTTCTTCTCTTTCCTCGACTACAGCAGCTTTGAGAGCTAAGCCCTTACTTATGACTTTGTCATAATTGTTGTTGATTTCAAACGTCGTGAGCTCTCCAAGAAGTTCATCAACATCCAACGACGCCACTATTTGGAAACTTTCAAGGGTTGTGATTTTCTCTCTAAACCTGGGAACGACAGTTCTCATAATCTTTTGTACTTGACGTTTCTCAGAGATTTCTTCTCCAAGCATCATACTTTGATTCACCAGATCACAGAATCTGGCATAGTATATGTCAATTGTCTCTTCATCCCTCATTTTGATCTCATCAAATTCAAGAGTTACCCGTTGAAGTCTGGATGCTTTGACAACCGTTGAACCTTCAAATTGACGTTGTAAGACCGTACAAGCATCTTTTGCAGTTTTGCAATGAACTATCATTTTGTGTCTTGTCTGATCAACTGCAATCATAATCGCATACAAGGCACGATAGTTAGCTTCTTCTTGAAGCTTCTCAGCATCAGTCGAGTTGTCCTTAGGTTTAGAAACCATGACTTTCGTTGTTTCTTTACCTTGATCAAGTGCTTGTTGCATGACTGGATGCTCCAAACCATTTTCAACACTTTCCCACACACCTTTTCCAAGCGATCTCAGAAAAAATGTCATCATAGACTTCCAATATGAGTAGTTCGAACCGTCCAATTGTGGGGGCCTGGACATCGATCCGCTTTCTTGATTCATGATTTGAGGGCAACACACGTCCTAGGATCTTTTTGTAATGAAGACGAAAACCCGCTCTGGTGCCAATTGTAATTTGATACTTGAACTCAGTATCCAGAATTGCACGTAAATAGACGAACAGACAGTAATGAAGATTCAAACAATTGCGGAAGCACCAAAAATTGAACCTTCAGAAGAGCGTCCCACTCTCCCTTCAGATCTCTTTCATTAATATGAACAACTCATACATCATCCAAGGATTTACAGTATCGACTCCCTCTACACTCTACTTGAATAATGATTCACACAACTACTAATCTGACCACAACTCTCTTGTGGATTTTCTAGTACGAATCCCTCAAACTATAAGAACGAACCTCCGAACATTCTTTCACAAAATTTTTTGAATATCACTCTTTTTTACTCAAGGAAAGAAAAAATATCTAACTCAAAAAATTCAAATCAAAAAGCACTCCTCAACTCTGGTCTTGTCCTCCTTTTATCTTCAGCATCCTTTGGAAAGTCTTTTCACCCAAGACAAATGCGCATAAGGAATGTAACTCTCTCGATCTTCTTCATCTTTGATTTTGGAAGGTGAATCTTGCGATCTTCTTCATCATCGATTATGGAAGGTGAATCCCCCCCCCCCCTCAATCTTGTCGACCCGCAAAGATAATAATACAACTAATTAGTCAATTTGACTTGAATAAAGCCAGATCCTAATCATACCAAAAATAAACTTCCCTTAAATACTCTCGCATCTTTCTGGATCCTGTGATCGTCAGAAGGTTCATCTATTTACTGTCAATAACCAGAATCTACACAGTGTCCACCTCCCTCCTCCAAAAGTTCAGACACCATTGTAGCCTGCAAAGTACAACCATCTTTAAGCTTAGGAATACCAGTTTCAGTACCTGCCACCCAATGATCTATAAGGATTATGGTGTTGAGACCATCCTTAATGTCTCTTCTAAAGCAATGCAGGTATGAATTCTTGACTGTCATCCAGCAATTCCATAACCATGAAGAGCTCTGAGATGTTTGTCCTTCAAGAACTGAACCCCTTGGAAAATAGTTGGCCTTTAGGATTTTGGTAACTAACAAGTTAGGCATTGTGAGGAGCCTTCATATCTGTTTCAAAATTAAGGCCTCATTGAAGAGTTGAATATTCTGGGAGCCTATCCCCCATAGGCCTTAGGAGCAGCCACCCATGACAAAGCTTTTCAGTGAATGCTTCTTTTTTGTACATCACCAGAGTTCCACCAAAACTTTGCACAGTTTGGATATGGCTTTGCAAATCCCTTTAGGCAAAGTAAACACAAATATAATAAACACAGGGATACCATTACTAACAGATCTAATAAGAACGGCTTTTCCCGCAGTGGATAGAAAAGAATTTTTCCAGCTTTCCAGTTTCCTCCTCACAGCCACAAGGGCATAATCAAACATTTCCTTTTTAGATCGACCAATTCCCAAAGGCATTTCCAAATATCTGGAAGATCTATGGACTGAGATGCCATGAAGAATATTGTAGACCTGAGATTGAGTAGAAATTTGAGTGTTCCTGCTAACGAACACAGTTGACTTCTCCAGATTCACACATTGACCAGTGAAATTTGTGTATTTGGCCAGATTGTTTAATAATATTTGGCTCTACACACATGAAGCCTCACAGAAAATAAGAGAGTCGTCTACAAAAAGCAGATGAGTAATTGCCACCCCCTGTCTGGAGATTCTAACCCCTTTGAAATTGCCTCTTCTCACCTCACATTCAATCAGTTTGGACAACACTTCTGTAATCAAGATAAACAGGCAGGGGGATAAAGGATCCCCTACCTAAGTCCTCTCGAAGGAGTAATATAACCACACACCTCCCCATTCAAGTTGAAAGAGAAAGATGCGATAGTGATACAAGCAGCAACCCACTTAACAAACATGCTATCAAAACCCATTTTCAGCAAAACCTTAATGACATTGTTCCATTCCAGCCTATAGGCCTTCATCATGTCCAATTTAACTTCCATAAAGCACTTTCCCCCGGATCTGTGTCTGTTTAAAAGTGAATAACCTCCCGAGCGATTATAACATTATCCATTAGTTGTCTCTCAGGTAAGAAGGCAGCTTGGCATTCACCAATGCAGACATCAAGACATCCTTTTAGCCGAGTGGTTAAAATTTTAGAGATAATTTTATAAGAGACCTCACAAAAAGGCTTATGGGTCTAAAGTGACTGAGAGATATAGGATTGAGACACTTTGGTATAAGTGTGATAAGAGTGTGGTTCCAGTTTCTGAGAAGCATACCTGATTGGAAAAAGGATAGCACAGCCTGACAAAGGTCCCCTTTTATAAGAGACAAAAAATGTTGGAAAAACAGTGGAGACATTCCATCCTCACCAGGTGATTCCCCAGGGATCATACAGAAAAGGACATTCTTAATTTCATCTTTTGACACCTCAGCAATTAACTCCAAATTCATGGACTCAAAAATGAATTGTGGAATAAGTTGCAATAACTCTGCCTCACGAGTAGATCCCTCTGTTCTAAACAGCTTAGTATAGAAGTTCACCACACATTCCTCTATGTTCTCTTGTGTTTCGAAAACCCTGTTAGTAGAGTCCACCAGTCTAGAAATCGCATTATCAAGGCATGAAAAAAATTTATATTTAAAATGTAAAAATATGGACACATCACATATCGATTCGCAACTTCTATTGGAGCGCATTATGATTTTGACTCTGAGGAAGTATCAAATTTTGACTCGCACATTGGTGGGATATCTATATCATATTGACAGCCTCCATCAATACACCTCCAATAAGAGTTCGTTAGAGTTCATTAGGAAAATATATTTTCTTACAAAGTGTTTTATTCAAGTGATTGAGAAATGAAACAGATAATGAGTTTCAATACAATCAAAGATGTCATTAGATGATTAGATAATGGAAATAGTATTATAAAGAGTAAATTACTACTTTAATTTTTTCGTCCTTTTCGAATTGTATTTTTATTTTCGTCTCGTACGTTTGAAAAAATGTTACAAAAAAGTCATTTTTCGCAACAAAAAGATCCTTTATGTTTTGTAAGAAAGTGTTTCAATTTCGTCCGTTATGTATGAAAAGGAACTTTGTGTAACTTTTTTTTAATGATACGGGACGAAAATCAAAAACACTATTTAAAGAAGACGAAAATGTTAAAGTAGTGAAACATATAGAACTAAAACTGTAATTTACTCTATTATAAATAGTCCCTAAGTTAGCCAAGTTACTTCAATGTGTGTTATGTTGGACAATCATTAATCTCGATTCATTACGTTGGCATTATTCCAATAACAAATAGTGAAAAATGTTGATGTGATTGCTTATGTAATTTTTATTGTCTTAATTACAATAAACAAATCAAATACTCAAAAACAAAATATCTTAACTATGCTTTGATTTACAAAATAAAAAATTTAGTTCATTATTTCATTTATTCTAATTTTTTTTTCCTAAACGATATGAATCACATATATTTACAACACAGAATAAACAAGATAACACCTATTTGGCCGAATAAAACAACCAACGACCGAATAAGTTGAACAGTTGACTCTAGTAGGGAGGACAACACGTAAAAACAGACGACAACCTAGAGTCAACCTGCAACACAAAACACAACTAAGAAGCTCCCAAAAGGATAATAAAACAAAAACTCTGATGCAGATTTATTATTATTATTATTATTAGGTATCTTAGAGAATAAGTTAAGAATTAAATATTTATAAGAGATCTAGTCCTGTTGGACAAGTTATGAATAGGGTTTTGGACTTTATTTAAAGGGCTCATCATCTATTGTTTTATTCAGTTGAATGTTGAATGAAAATATGAATTGATTGTGAGTTTTATCGAGAGAGTATCTCGTTTATCCTTTCCAATCGTACGCTTTCTTACATCAGTTGGTATCAGCAGTCAGTATGATTTGCGATGTCATCGGGACGACAAAATGCCGCAAACGAACGACGTGATACAACCTTCAGCGATCGGTTTCAACAGATCGACTACTGATTTCAACAGTTGGGCGTACGCTTCGCAGATTGGTTTTCCGATCTTTTGATGCAAATTGAGGATTTTTGTTTGACGCTTAACAACGTGGTTGTTTAGGAATTGCAAATGAACAATGATGGGGTTGGGGGCCGTGGTAATCACGGGGGAGCCAGGGGCGGACGTGGAGAACGCGGCTATGTCTGGGCCCCTCGGAAGCGGTCCTCGTCACCTCTGAACGACACGTAGAACAGAGAGAACACCTGGTCGGCGGACAACTCGTCCACTGGCCACGCTGGGAGATGCGATGAGGAGACCTTAACCGATTTCTGATTTCGCGACTAGAGGCGGTCGAGCGTTGAAGCCCTAGGAGAAGGTCGACACCGCGGGAAGTAGAGGCCAGATGGTGGTTTCGCGGCGGCCTGGGTGTGCGAACGACGACACACCGCTGGAGAGTTCGACGAAATCCACGGTCAC